TTTACAGCATGTAATTTAAATGAATATTTTCGAAGAGATTACAGATTTAAAATGCAGCTACATGGCGGTTGCGGCTGTACCGGCCCCCCGCGGTTTATATTGTCTAATGACCAAAAAGCGTTGTATATAAAGACAGTCTGTATTATATTTAGTATCACCTTTGCACCCGTGCGAAGCTGGGGCGGGTCACTAGTAAGTAATATATCGATATATGAATGGTACGTATGTACTTTTTGTTAGATGACTGTTAAATGTTCTATCCTCTAGGCTAGTAAACTGTTCTGTAGGGCCAAGACGAAAACAAATACCGAACGAACAAGACCAAGGCTGAAACCAAGACCTATCGAACAAAACTAAAATTAAAACCGAGACTGAATATGCAAGATGAAGACAACGAAAAATTTTTTACTTTCGGTGGATGTATGAGTTAAATTATTTGAAGCAACTCCAGTATATTCTTATCTTGGAACAAAATATCTTCAGTATTTGAAAGTTTTAGTTTGCTTCACTAGATTTTAACACTAAATATAAAAAATAGAAACTTTACCACTGTTTGAAAAAAGATATCTACAAGAATGTTCTCGGAGTAAGTGTTCTTAGAAAACCATGCCTAGTAGGCGGAAAGAGGAGGGTACATCCCTAACATTAAAGAGAACTTTTCTCAAAAATATTTTTGATAGTGTAAGAGATATATTACCTTTTTGACGTGACAACGTCTTATAATTCGATGGAGCCGACTGCACGCACGAAAAAACATGACTCATGCGGCGTTACCTCGCTCTGAGGCGTTCCATTTAAGGCTTGAAGTGCAAGCGAGAGCGCGGAACGAGCGACAAAGAGGCACAATCGGCCTCCGCGTTCGGCAGCGTTCGACATCTGTCTCTCTCCTACTTGAGTGAGCGATGCGTCCGCGTGGACAGCTGCTATACAATAATACATTTCCATTTACCTCCTTCTCTATATCCATACAAAATATCTATCAAACAAATAAAATTAAAATTTTCTTTTGAAAAATGAAACCATTCCATCAGTATTTTCTTATGACGTTGTCACGTTCAACTATCGCCAGTAAACCGACTTTACAGACAACCGATTTTTTTGCTTAGGATGATCTTTGTATAAATATGAATTACTATTTCATTGGAACAGTAATTCTTGCAAGAAAGAACTACCCCATTTTAATAACGGTCTGCTTCAACCATTCATGACAATTAAATATCTAACGTAAAAATTTAATTATCCTCAAAAATTTAGTTAAGAAAGTTAATATGAGACAATAGATTACGCAAAAGGTCATCTAGGTACAACCAGTTCTAATGTTTATCGAAGAGAGCGAGTGTTGGTTCAATAATAAATAATGCAACGTCATCGTCACCCCTACCACTCATAATTCGCCAAGTGGAACCCTTGCCGTTTTCTTTAGCCAACACGGGGGCCAAAGTTTTGATACTTGTGCAACGAGCCGTGAGCTTATGAACGCTGCAGGGTCTTCTGCGATATAAACACAACTCTCACACACACAGTGGCTGCCAACTACTGGCAAGTTGACATTAATCATAAACCGAAGAGGGTTCTCTGATTAACGCAGCAAAGGATGTAGTAGTGAGCTCAGCAGCAGTAGACCGAGAGGAGACCAAAGCGTTCGTTCATATACGTTGGTCGGAGGGATGGATTGATGGTGGTTATGATGGGGCCGTCGTTTGGCACATCTGTTACCTTGCTACGGTTCCACGGTGGCGGTGTGTGTACGTACCTACGTTCGTTTCGATGTGAGGGACAAGTTGCATAAAAGCTGCCGCGAACCTATTGTTGCGTCGGTGATTGACAAACAGGCCAACATTGATTTTATCGCTCCTTTTGATATCATACAGTTTATAGATCTGTTTTTTTAACATTCTAATTTAAGCAGCATTGAAGCATAAAGACATGATATGTAACAACAGTAATATATTCTTTTTTATGGCAGCAAGTAACAGCTGAACTTCGTTGTTGTTAAAGCTTATCAGGCTTTAGCTTGTTCGGGAGTTTTTCACTCTTGTATATTTCGGTATCTAGTAAAGTGCAGTATTGGCATCTAGCAAGGAGGACCTAGAGATAGCTTTAAATAAAATGGAAGCGGTACTGACAGATCAGTACTGTATGAAAATAAATAAAAGTAAAACTAAAATACTGGTATGCAAGGGAAGAAAAAGAAGGGAAAAAGCGAATATAAAGATAGGAGACGAAAAATTAGAAGAAGTGGCTGATTTTAGATACCTGGGAAGTCAGATAGGTGAGGATGGAAGGAGTAGTAGGGATATAAAGCAGAGGATAGCGCAGGGTCGTGTCGCCTTTAATAAAAAGAAGTCACTTCTATGCTCGCGAACGGTTAATTTAGAAATTAGGAAAAGGTTGTTAAAGATGTATGTTTGGAGCACGGCGTTGTATGGGTGCGAAACATGGACAGTGGAAGCGGCGGAAAAGAAAAGGTTAGAAGCGTTCGAAATGTGGTGTTATAGGCGGTTGATGAGGATATCGTGGGTAGAAAAGGTTAGAAATGAAGAGGTATTGGAAAGAATAGGAGAACAGAGGACTCTATGGAAGTCAATAAAAAATAGGCGAGATAGGTTGGTAGGACACCTTCTCAGGCATGAAGGTCTAGTCAGAGACATAAAGAGCAGAAACAGGAGTTAGGAGGGGTAGAGGTAGACCTAGATTAGATTACTCTTCGCAAATAGTTAAGGATGTGGGCTGTTCTAGTTTTAGGGAAATGCGAAGTTTATCTCAGGATAGGAAAGAGTGGAGGTTCGTGTCCAACCAATCTTAGGACTGACGACCTTATGATAATGAGTAAAGTGTTAATTGGAAAAATTTTCCTTAATTTCTTTAGTTAACGAGAAAATGATTTGAACAAAAGAAGTCGTTATATATTATAAGCAAGATTTAACATTAATTGTAAGCAGATTTAAAGTCAATATAATAATAAAAGCCATCTGAAGTGTTAAACCAGTCAACTTTTTTGAATACAGACATTAAGTTCGATGTTTCCGCGTTCTTATTTATGCCTTCTGAACAAATAAACTTAGCACTAAAGCGTTAATAGAGGGTGTAACAGAAATAAGTGCCGAGCTTTAGAGGGTGTAAACTAATTGCAATAAACAATCGTACGGTGAGCGTGGTTAAGATCTTTGTTTTTTAAGAAAATCACAATCAAATAAGTTTCCAAAAGTTTCACTCCACATATTTACCGAAAACAGTTCTTGAAATCCCGAAGGATGTACGACATGCAAATTTGTGTCGCACCAACACTGATTATTGTAAAAATACAAAATTCCATCCTGTGTGAAGCACATTTGTCTGTAAACAACACCCTATGACAAATTAGGTTATGTAGCACTGTTCTTTTGAAATTACCGACACAAATCCTCTCGCGGCTAAATAACAGTTTCAAGCACGGCTTGCACTCGCTGCAAATGATAAGGATGTAGTAACTGTTCCTTTAGAAATCGGTACACTTAAAGCAGCCAACGTTCTCTGCTATATTTCGCGTGTACAGCAGCGATATAGTCTAAACCTAAATCTACCCTAATAATTGGTACTGTATTGCTGAATTAGTTTATTGAACTGCACCCTGTATCAAACTTAATATAATCTACCAAATAAACGATAGGTACATGAGCAAAATAATACAAAACAAATACTGCACTGGTGCTGGTAATCACCAGCTGATTGAGTGCAGCGTTGCGGACCGCATTTCCGCACCAGAGCCGGAGTTGAATTTACCTGCATTTTTAACTACGTTTTCCTCGAAAACCGTGAACATTCGGAAATACAAAAATTTACTTAAATTTTATGTCTGCAAGTTCGACACTTATATCTGTTACACCCTGAATTAAATTGAATTGATGATTTCTTGCACAAAAATAATTAGTGGGATTTCACAGCACTTTATTCGTTTGCTTAGCTTTTGTATTTCTTTTTTTTTTATTTAAGAGAAAATAACAACTTTCAGACTCATTTATCATGAAACCATCATACCTAATAATATTACAAACAGAATTTTGAATACACCTTCACGCTGGTAATTGAAACTTAAAAGAGACATAGTGTGTTTACAACTATATTGGTTCCGTTCATTAAATATGGCGATGGTTTTACGAGAACTAGCCTGACACACCTGTTCTTCTTAGATACTTGCCTACGATTTTTAGAAAATAAAGACATGTTATAGCACACCTGCTATAGAATATTTTTAGCATAATACCGACTTTGTTTCTGGATCTATGTAATTAGAAATGGGTTTGTAAATTCAGATTTTTTTATGACTTTCTGTGAAATAAAAAATGTGAAATTGATATAAATGCTATTCAAGTTTTCGCAAGATGATGAATCCTACATTTCAATCGACATACTGTTTACCTTCTACAGGGATAAATCTATACTCATACTAGGTACACGAACATTTAGAATACAACAAGGCGTTTTAAAAATAATACTGATTTATTACTTTTTAATAACCATTAGCTATTTGTATTTGTGCCTACGTCTTGATCAGTAAAATATTGATAAAGAAAGAGGAAAGTAAAAAGGTTTCTCATTACTGCTCTAAGTATTTAATTTGTGGTTATGTACAAAGAGTCTTCAACGAGTGACAACAAGAAGAATGCTTTTTCTCAGTGTTATATAGCCTTTCCCAAAAAAAAATTACAGATGTTACAAAATAGTCAGTTAAAAAACAGGGTATGTCTCAAAGGTTGTTTCTTCATAGTTTTTTTTTGTGTACATTAATAAAACGTGATAGGTAAAATTCATGAATATTTTTAAGCTTCTCTTTCCTGCCCTTTAAGTTTTTGCTTCTTTATTTATTTTATGTTTTTAAATAAAAAAGAGGATACGGTCAATATTTCTTATATTTTTTCTAATAAAATTTGTTTCATAATAAAATTTACATATTTACAATTGTACAAAAATAACTATTCTATGCATTAAGACTATCTATCACAAGTTTGGTACTAATAATGTATCATTGCATCACCTTCCGCACTATCGTTACGTTATATTTCCATTATGGAAATTAAAAATATTCTAGGAATCATTTATTTACAATTATTTATACTAATAATAAACGGTATGCAAAGAACCCAACGACGCTAAAATCAAATAAATACTTTTCACTAGATTACAAGCCGAGAAATACTTCCAACGCATAGATATACAAAGTAATTACATAAACCAAATCGTCCGCACTAAATGTCCTTTGCACAATTTTGTATACTAATAGGGTCTCCAAACGGCTTTTGTTGAATTTAATGTAGGTGTCGTACGTATTTTGGTAGCAACAGGCGATTTTTGACACAAAGGGCTCTTTCTTGAAGTAACAGATTTAAGCTCGCACTTTATCACAGGTTCCTTATCCTGCACCGTCGAATCAGGATGTTGAACTTCCTGTAAAGCGACATTCGCAGGTTTCAGAGGCTGGAATGCCGACTTTACAACGTCTATGTCTTCGTCATCCGAATTTTCTGAATTTGAATGCTCCATAGTCGAATGGATCGTACTGTCGTCTTTAGATGCACTTTCAACTGGGGTAGAATTAGTTTTATGGGACACTTGAGGACTAACGCTATGCCTGGACGAAACAGGGGATATTTTAATACTAAGTTGATCCATCGGAGATACTGGGAGGTGACGAAGGTGCATATTTTCGAAATGGGTAGGAATTTTCGAAGGACTTTCGTTTGGAAGTGAAGGTATCAACGGTGACTGCGGTATATATCCTGGCGGATGGAAAGCACCTGTAGGACTCAAACTATGCGGTGATACATAGAAGTCGGAAGATGGTTGAACGCCTGCCATTACAGGAGATGTGGAGCCTAACATAACACAAGCTTTTATTAGGAGTCAAGTTAAAAAAAACTGAATTCCAAATTTCTACCTTTCATTAAAGCTGAAGGGAAAGTATTCTGAGAGAGGCCACTGGTTTGTCGTGACCTAAAATAATCCGGCCACGCATATGTCATATAGGCAGCGTCCAGCCAACCTGGATTAAGTAGAAAAGGGTTGAAGCTTCCTGGAAATCCTGCTAATCCGTACCCGAACTGGTAGTCTGAAAAAAAAGTAGGGAAAATTGATGTGAGGTTTAAAAAATTCTAAAGGGACCGTTTTGAATGCGGATTAAAAGGATCGGAAGTGCTGCTGATTGATATTTAGAAGGGTTAATTTCCTCTGGCGTCTCTTGGAAAAACATGAAAGGGATTTAAATAAAATTACATATTTGGTAGCGCGATATACCTACAGATATTCCTCATACATTGATACATACATATGCTTTTACTATAAATACTCTCGTTACAAGGAAACTATTTGACCGGTAATTAATATTATAGTATCCACCTCCCAGAGAGCATTTACGCTAATTCGATCGTTTTGGGGCGGTCTTGTTTTATTTGCTTCAAATACTGCAGTAAATCCGGAGTAAAAAGAGTAACTAGAAACGAAAATTTCCACTGTTGTCGCCAAATAGGTCCCAGAACGCTGAGACTCGAACTTTACGGTTTATTTACAAAAGTCAGTATTAGGTGCCAACCATATAAAACCAGAATAAATCCATAAAATCTCGAATTAAAACAACTGAGCTAGATCAAAGGCAGCGTGTGGCGATTATAAACGACTGTTTACATCAAGTAGACTGTGCTTAACTGGCCGTAAAGGTTTATGTGCTTATCCGTCCTTTTTGCCTTACGCAGTTATTTTTATTTCGAAAACGTCCGCGTAAATCGCACATAAAAAAAGGAAAAGATCCGAAAAACGCAACTTTATGACAACAATGTGAACCTACACAGGATATTTCGAATTTAGAATCTAACGAAAATTTTCAGAATAAGAAAAATACATGAAATTGATTTTCAAAATTTTAATAGTGGTGACCCTTTCACCTGCACGTTACGCCATTGTATTATAGGATGTTGTGGCGCCATTGCCAACAGCGTCGAAGGAATAATCCGTAAAATTTTATATGTTTATTTAACGCACATGTTCCAACGATTATTTTACGACATTTTGGCTGTTTGTTAAACAAAAGCTACATAAACGCGGACAGGCTGTGTGTGGCAACATTTACGGAGTTGGTTTCATACGACCAGATATGACCGGAAACTTGGCTATAAGTATTTTTTGATTTTCGAAAAAAAAAAAAAAGTAACACCTATTTATAGATAGCACACTAAACCTTCAAGTCGTCACTAATGAGTAATGTTAATATTTTGAAAAGAATCCAGCAATAATTTTTGCTACATATAATTTATGTTTTCTTTTGAAGAAGCGAACAGCTAAAAAGCAAATGCGAAACCGAATTGCGGCTTTGGCAATGATTACATTTAACATAATTCACTTACAAAATATTTATTGAAAACTGTTTGAAATCGTCTGTATTTTTCTAGTTCAAACACAAAGTTAAAAATTCAAACAGAAGTAGTCATTATTCACCTGTTAATTTATGAGTTTTGTTTCAGTTCTTAATATTATGGGAAGCGTCTGCTTTATTTTGGTATCAATCAGCAAATATAACGCACAATAACGAAAGGTAACCAACATTAACTTACTTGATTTGGTTCTGGGTTCCCTGGGTCCATCTACGGTAACTTTGATTGCTTTATTATATGTAGCGATTTGGAAAGGTGATGAACTGATCATGATGGACAGGGAGAAACTCTTTCCTCTTCCACTTCTGCCGACAAATCTCAGATCGTTGAATTTGGCAACTTGATTTTTCATCACAGCCGTACAGTTTCTTAATTCAGCACAAAAGTTTTCATCATTACCAGCTTTCAAAGTCACCACGGTACCGTCTTGGATATCGTCCAACGCGACCACCTTAAAGGCAATGGGCAAACTCTTGTTCGATCTCCAGTGAGTCGGAAGAGCACTACAAAGTACCGTGGGACTACCGGTCTGCACTAATTCACCGTGGTACTCTTGCAAAGTTTCTTGAAGATTGGCATACATGTCGGCAACGTTGGGAAGAAACGTTTGGTTTACTGGCAAATGCATCGGTCCAAAAAATTCTTTATTTTAAGTATAGGTACATAAAACTTTACTTTAGGTGAAGCTTTTTTATTTTTCGATGTTCATAAAAAGTTTGTCACATTGGTACTTAGTAGCACTTTATCACTATTTTGTTAAAGATAAGATATTGTTGGTTGAGCACGAGTTTGGGCGGTTTTTTTTTAAAGTTGGAGCTTGAGCGTGACGCGGCTTGTCGACATCAAGAACAGTTTAAAGAAAACACGCGTCGTTTCTTAGACATGCGTTGCGACGACTAACGACGAAGGGCGCCGAAGCCTAGTGGTGAGCACAGTTTCAAAAGAGGGTCTTGGCGTCTTACAACCGATACAATCGGAGCTGCGTTTCGAACTGACGACGAACTTTTTCAGCTGGTCAATATTGTTAGTATGCACCCCCGCTTACTAAACACCCCATGACAAGGGTAACTTTTTACAGCATATTTAGGCACGTTGAAACGAGACAGAATTTATAGGCCACTTCATATTGGCTGAAAAAGGAGAGGGTGACGCCGCGTTAAAATTACTAGTAATATCGCGTTGTTGAAAAGAGAGCGATACTATCTTGGTGCGAAAAGAACTGGAAAAAAATCAGACAACTATGCAAGAGCGAAAACGAAGAGGGTTAGTATAAATGCACGTGGTTACAACAAGGACGGCCTATACAAGATACTTTCTCCTGAAACGTAAGACTGATGAAAACCGACAAGGATAGCAAGGAGGGGTTACTGTTGATAGAGTGAACAGGAGAAGGAGGATAGATCGATTCAAGTTCTGCCGTAACAGAAAAGGACAAAGGAAAAGCAAGTGAAATTGGAGTAAAGAGAGTGGGAATGAGATGGGGTGTAGCCAATCCCAACGGTGGTTTTTGAGGCTTCAACGCGGTTAGCCCCACCTCTGACATGCCACACACCACACTTTGTCTTATCCCCCCACTTCTTTTTTCGGTTTCAGACTGATTTTCAGAAAATATCAGCAGACGAGGAATAGAAATAGGTAAGGGAGGGTTGATTCGAATTTTACGCCTAAAGCTTACAACTTTACGTAGGTATACAATTCTATTGAAAGGGTTGTGAGCACATAGAAATTATTGATCAAATTTAATCACGTGTCTAATATGCACCTTTTACAAGATCTACTGTTTACGTAGGCGTGTAATATTGATCACAAAATCCATACATGACAGGGTGAACTCGACGCTAAAAAACTCATTTAAACGCCTTAATAGATTTTACGAGCGCCCGATGATACATCAGAATTTACATAAAATTTTTATTAATTTCATAAGTCCAGGGAAATAAATGACTGTAACGACTCCGAAAATGAAAATCTAAATTTACTGCATACTTTTACTACAGTGTTACTTGTTTAAACAAAAAGACTCGAAAAAAGTGGATTGTAAAATATCCTAATAATCTTATCTATCGGACCTAATTTACTCCTGCTTCAATTGATTCTTTTAAATGTATATTAAGTGAGAACATATATACCTATTACTTTTTTTATTCTTCAGGCTCAGGTCACACTCTGTCAGTAATTAATAGTGTATAAACTGTAAGTAAGTGGGTATTTAAAAAAATTTGATTTATGCTAAAAGTTATTTTTACCTTTTAGTACTTACATATACGTAATACTTACCAATATATAAATTAAGGGTTCTTTTTACACGTGTATGAATTCGTCGCAACAAAAAAAACATATCTATTTGTCTGTAGGAAAATATGTACACAAAGGGCAAGATTGATTGTCTTGCTTCATTAACTTCTTATTTTATCTTATTTCTTGTCTTGTCACTTACTTGCTGACTTGATTCTTCTTTTGCTGCCTTGAGGAGAACCCCAAGTCTGTTTCGTCTAAAGGACCTTGCTAGATCCTTACGAAAAAGGTCTCTTTTGAAACTTTGGATTCTGGTAGTTCTCGGTGAATACACGACAAAAGTACCAGCGACAAAACGTACCATCGCTATTGAGCAATATTGAATCCTTGTAAACAATTATTTAAAAGCAAATTTCATAACGTAACTTAACCTCGTGACATTATTCGAACATATCAGTCCGCCTTCAGTTTCTTATAAATCCACGTAACCAAACATCCATAATCAGCTGACCACTTACAACTCACAATATACTATTATTACGACACATGTACTATCCGTGGTGGTACATTTTGAAATTAACAGATTAAGAAATGACCCTTTACAGGTAGAAGTGGTACGTTATGTCGCAAAAAATCCGGTTGTACGTTTTGACTGGTAACGGTTCTCTCAAGGCGCAAAGCCCTAAAAACTCTTATTGAGATATTGTCCCTTAAAGTTGCATTCTTTTGTAAAGACTTCCAAGGTGTCATTATATCTATTATACGTATTTATAACGTTCGAGTATACTTATATGCAAATGTTGATGTACTATACCTATGCGTATTGCATATTATGGAGGTATCATGGTTTCGAACCACTTCTGCAAAAGTATCTATATTACACCTCAACGTCATAGTGTAGGTAAGTGCTTATGGGGAAAGTTGGTGCATTCGGAGGTGTAATCAGACAATAGCACAGAATCTGTAGTTTATACGACGCGACGCATGAAAACTGAAAGTGTAGTTGTAACAATGGCCGCAGCGAGAGATCCTAGGGAGAAGGATTTTCATTAGCTGTAAGTTTATATACGTTTAATGTATTTGGTTTCAATGTTCTTAGATTTTGTATCATGACTCGTCAATCTTTTCCTTGCTTGCTGGGGGAGGGGTGCACTGCCCCCTTCATGCCCCTACCTAATGAACGCCATCTGTAGAATGATACAGTTTGTGGTATTAGTTAAAGTTCGACAAGGTCCATAAGAATATTAATTTGTCGAACTAATTTTTATATTTATTGGTATTTTCGCTCTAATGAAATATTTATATTCGACTGTCTTATTCACTAAAGTAATCTATACTATTGGCTTGGTGCTCAAATAATAAATAATAATTAGTACCTATATTTACAATTTAAAGTTTAGACGTTATCTTAAATGTGTTCAATTAATAACAACTAACAATTACGGCAATAAAGAATACAGTTAATATTTTACCATGATTCATATTTTCTCTAACGAATTGATGGTGCATGTAATGGTAAGTTTCCAAAATAGGATAAATGTAACGTTAGGTTTAAATATATATATATATGATTCAAAAATCAAAACACCCTGTCATTTTGTTAAAGATAAGATATTGTTGGTTGAGCACGAGTTTGGGCGGTTTTTTTTTAAAGTTGGAGCTTGAGCGTGACGCGGCTTGTCGACATCAAGAACAGTTTAAAGAAAACACGCGTCGTTTCTTAGACATGCGTTGCGACGACTAACGACGAAGGGCGCCGAAGCCTAGTGGTGAGCACAGTTTCAAAAGAGGGTCTTGGCGTCTTACAACCGATACAATCGGAGCTGCGTTTCGAACTGACGACGAACTTTTTCAGCTGGTCAATATTGTTAGTATGCACCCCCGCTTACTAAACACCCCATGACAAGGGTAACTTTTTACAGCATATTTAGGCACGTTGAAACGAGACAGAATTTATAGGCCACTTCATATTGGCTGAAAAAGGAGAGGGTGACGCCGCGTTAAAATTACTAGTAATATCGCGTTGTTGAAAAGAGAGCGATACTATCTTGGTGCGAAAAGAACTGGAAAAAAATCAGACAACTATGCAAGAGCGAAAACGAAGAGGGTTAGTATAAATGCACGTGGTTACAACAAGGACGGCCTATACAAGATACTTTCTCCTGAAACGTAAGACTGATGAAAACCGACAAGGATAGCAAGGAGGGGTTACTGTTGATAGAGTGAACAGGAGAAGGAGGATAGATCGATTCAAGTTCTGCCGTAACAGAAAAGGACAAAGGAAAAGCAAGTGAAATTGGAGTAAAGAGAGTGGGAATGAGATGGGGTGTAGCCAATCCCAACGGTGGTTTTTGAGGCTTCAACGCGGTTAGCCCCACCTCTGACATGCCACACACCACACTTTGTCTTATCCCCCCACTTCTTTTTTCGGTTTCAGACTGATTTTCAGAAAATATCAGCAGACGAGGAATAGAAATAGGTAAGGGAGGGTTGATTCGAATTTTACGCCTAAAGCTTACAACTTTACGTAGGTATACAATTCTATTGAAAGGGTTGTGAGCACATAGAAATTATTGATCAAATTTAATCACGTGTCTAATATGCACCTTTTACAAGATCTACTGTTTACGTAGGCGTGTAATATTGATCACAAAATCCATACATGACAGGGTGAACTCGACGCTAAAAAACTCATTTAAACGCCTTAATAGATTTTACGAGCGCCCGATGATACATCAGAATTTACATAAAATTTTTATTAATTTCATAAGTCCAGGGAAATAAATGACTGTAACGACTCCGAAAATGAAAATCTAAATTTACTGCATACTTTTACTACAGTGTTACTTGTTTAAACAAAAAGACTCGAAAAAAGTGGATTGTAAAATATCCTAATAATCTNTGTCCGTACTTCCCCTATTCATAAACTCTGATATATAACGAAACGATTGAATCTTTATATTTTTATAAAAGAGGAATCATTGTAAGCACCCATTTAGATTTTAAGAATTCGTAAAAGAAAGAGAAACGAGTTTTATTAAAAATATTCCTTTCTTTCGGCAACTTTTGGTGGTCACATTACCGGTATGTTTCTGGTTTCTGCATCAAGATAAATTGGTTCAAAACGTAAATAGATTTCTTTTCCTTTCAAACGACAAAACGAATGGTTCCATTTACAAAACATACAAAATTCCTTAAATAATGTGGAAATAACTTTACGACAGACAAAACAATTAATATTTATGAGAATTTGTTGCCGAGTAGAGTACTCACGACTTAAGTGGACGTCTAACCTAACTTCCATATAATACAAAGTGGATCTCATGAGATTGTCCTACAATGCGAGCAAAGAGCATAAATGCCTTGTTTCATATTGGCCCAACATTTAAAGTTACCTACACATAATTTGTGTTGACCCCATAAAATTCTTCATGTTGGAAATGTTTTAGTTTAATACTGTCATTTCGGTTATTGTTTACATTTAAAATCAAAATTTGAAGAAAAATATAAAACGAATATTTGTAATGTCTTTATCCTTGTTCGACAGTTCGACACCTACTCGTTTAGGCTACTTATAAGGGTTAATTAACGTATGCCTTCCAAATATATTCCAGCTAAAAATTAATGTTTAGTAAGGTGGAAGTTGACAATAAAATGAATTTTCAGTGATTGTGAATATTCTTCATTCTACTCCTGATTCTTGATGACATTGGAACAAATATTTCAA